CAGGCCCGGCACCCAGCAGTGGACAGGGGGGTCCTCTCAGGACACAGGCCCAGCAGTGGACAGGGAGGTCCTCTCAGGACAGAGGCCAGCACCCAGCAGTGGACAGGGGGGTCCTCTCAGGACACAGGCCCAACAGTGGACAGGGGGGTCCTCTCAGGACACAGGTCCAGCACCCAGCAGTGGACAGGGAGGTCCTCTCAGGACACAGGCCAAGCAGTGGACAGGGAGGTCCTCTCAGGACAGAGGCCAGCACCCAGCAGTGGACAGGGAGGTCCTCTCGGGAGAGGAGGCCCCAGCAGAGGCCTGTGCAGAGGGCGGCCCCACACAGGAGGCCCTTCCCAAGGGGAGGACAGGGAGGTCCCCTGCCCGGGAAGGCCCTTCCCACGGGCCCAGGTCAGACTGCAGTGGGGCAGGCGCTGGCATCCGTCCCCACATCACCTCTCCTCTGGCTGCTGAGGAACACGCTGCCCACCCCTGACGGGCAGGGGTCAGAGGCCAGGTGGCTGCAGTGGCCCCTCCACCTCCGTGTCCAGGATCCAGGGGAAGAGGGCTGGCGCGGTGGATCCAGCTGCAGGGCCAGCCAAGCGGCTTCCCAGGCCACCGGGCAGCCCTGCAGAGGAGCAAGAGGCCGAGGGCAGGGACGGCCACTGCGGGAGGGACGGCCACTGCGGGAGGGATGGCCACTGTCAGAGGGACAGCCACTGTCGAGGGACCGCATAAGCCAGGTTCAGGTCCCGGTGACAAAGGCCTGCAGGGGACACAGTGGGCTCTGTGGCCAGGGCCGCCCTAGACTCCCCGGCCGAGGCCTTCGCACACACCCAGGCACACGCTGCGTCGCCAGCCACTGTGCCGCCTTCCCTGCACAGGTGACCCACTCGTCCCTTGGCAGCCGGCACCACCTCCCCCTCCTCATGGCCATCGGGCCCCGTCACCTCTTGTCAACCCAACTGTCATATAAGGTGGGGGCAAAGCGGGGGTGGGGAGAACCAAACAAGGTGATTCAGACCCCAGGGGAGGCCGGGCTGCGCCCTGCAGCTGGCCCCCCACAGCTGGCCCCCACAGCTGGGCCCCCCTGGCCGAGGCTGCGGCTCCTGCCATCACCCAGCTGGCTCTGCCGCCCGACATGGGGCCCTTGCATGGGACCGAGGCCACATCTGAATGACGGTCACGTTAACACATCTGCCTCAGTAAACCCCGAACGTCCCCCTCCTGTGGCCCAGCGCGGGGCTCAGAACCACCCAAGGTGACTCCTGAGCCGCGCCTGCCCCCTGCTGACCACACGCGGCAGCGCAGAACCGAGTTCTGAAACCGCGGGTCCATTCACCCAGGAAAGCCAGTGGCTCCCACAGCGGCCTCCCCCTCCCCAGCCACCAAGTCCCATGGACACCCGCGAAGTCCTCTGCAGAGACGCCAGGCTCCCCCCTCGGCTGTGGGCGGAACAATGTCACCCGGAACACGACCCTGAGAGCAGTCAGCAGGACAGGTGGCCACACAGAGGCCAGCAGGAACACGGGCCCAGGCCTGGACGCAGCTGCCCCGAGTCGAGGACAGCACCAGGCGCCAAACCCCGGCCACAGCAGCTGCCCCATCGTCCACAGCAGGGGAAACCTCAGCGTTCAGAGGCTCAGGGGTGGAGCGCGCTCAGAGAGGGCAGGCCTCGCAGGACGGGCACACCGGAGCCCCAGGAAGTGGACGGCGCCAGGCACTCCCCAGGCTGACGCCCACCATGCCCCCAGAAGGGCCCTGGTATTCCCTTCATTATTCCTGTTTCAAAGAAGAAGAAACTGAGGCTCCAAGAGGTCTCCTGATCCTCCAAGCAGGAAGGACTGCAGCGAGCCTAGCTCGGGCCTCTGCTGTGTCCTGAGCAGCTGTACAGTGGCCTCCGACCAGCATCCTGCCTCCCTGCCTGGCCAGCACCTGTGGCTCCCGGCTGACCTCGGCCCACGAGGACACTGGTGACCGACCCTCCACAACTCCCTCACCCGAGCAGTCCTGATGGTAAGGCCCCGGGCACCGCGAGCCGTCCCTGCCCCGGGTAGGCCAAGCCCTTCCCCATCTGGCAGGGTGAGTGGGCTCAGGAAGCCAGACCCCTGTCCCAGCGGCTCTCAGAACAACCAGCAAGCCTCGCCCCTCACAGGGCACCACCCTGGAGGCCCTGTCCCCTCTCCCACAGGCATGCACAGGGGGCCGGTCAGACACCTCTGGAAGCCTGTGAACATGGGAATAGCCTCCGTCCAGCTTCCGCGGTCTGCTCGTCCCTCCACGACGCTTCCTTAGCCATCCCAAGAACCCCTCTTAGGCAGGCTGACGTATCGGGTCACCTTTACAGGAGATGAAGCAGGTTCAGAGAGGGTGAGTGGCCTGAGCCAGGTCACACAGCCCAGAGGCAGCAGAACCAGAACATGTCGGACCCCAGACCCCACGCCTGACGACTTGTGCCTCCTCACTGGAGGTCTGCCCAGGTGTTTTGCCTTCGCACTTGGACACAGGGTTAGATGGTCATCGGACACCACGGCATCTGGGCAAACTGCCCGTCCAGGTCGTACCTGAAGGCCACCTTGAAATGACACGGTGGCCAGTGCTGTCCCCAGGACAGCTCCCAAGCCGCTAGCTGCAGTGCCCCCGAGCCGACGGCAGGGACCCTGCGCTCACTCCCGGGACCCCCGTCACTGTGGGGGGGGGGAGCTGTGAGAGGACTAAGAAGCCACGTGACGTGGCCTGATGTCCCCAGGTCCCCGTAACCAGCCAGAGCAACGCAGCAGAGAGCACGGAGCCAGCTGTGGGGGGCCACATGCGGCACGCGTCCACTGACGGGTCTCAGGGCGCAATGGCCGTCCCGATGCGGCGGGAAGGGGCTCTGTGGCAGCCCCGAGGGCCCACTCGTCCCCGAGGGCCTGCGCTGACCTGCCCAGGGTTCGCCACACAGAAGTACTCCAAGGACCCAGCCCACGGGGTGCGCAAGGCTGGCCGCCGTGAACCTGAGCAGGAAAGGGAAGAGGGACAGGGTCAGACCCGACCCCCCAGGGCAGGGCAGTGCCCACCACGTCCCCCTGAGGCCACGCAGCGAGCCCTCTGAGAGCCACACGTTCCCCGTCAGGCCGGGCGAGAGCCGCCTGCCTCGTTTCTGTCCAGTGGCCATCCAGCCGCTCATCGCTGTGGACGTTCAAGGCCTCTCGTGGTCGGCAAGCTCCATTCCCTGACCCCAGAGGTGACTCGGGTTCACTGAAAACTGGGCTCCACCTCGAGAAGGCCCAGGACTGTCCAGGCCGACAGAGCCCGCGGCCGGGCGCCGTCCTTCCCCGAGAAGCAGAGCTGCCCCGGAAGGAGGGCCCCAGAGACAGGAGCGCCCGCTCCGGCCCCCAGGAGGCCGCTGCCGTGCTAGGTCCCCTCCCCTGGCTGCTACACGCCCCCAAAGCCATCAGTGACCTGCACTGAACGCGTGGACCCTGGCCTTCCGACAGGCCTCTCCACTCCGTCTGTGCCCCTAACAAGCGTCCGGCTTACCTGGGGGTCCCCGGGGTGCTGGCCGGCGGTGGGCAGCAGCTTACAGCACCCTGCGAGCAGGCAGGTCACCAGGAGCCAGCGCGGCCACAGCAAGGGCCTCCCACACACGCGTATCCTGGGGGAGAGCAGCACCGGGTCAGGGACGGCCCCACAGGCTCCCAGTGTCCACTCTGCCCCGAAACCCCAAGGCCACGAGGCTCAAGGCACACCCAGACCCCCACCTCCCACGAACACCCCCACCCTCCAGGATGAAGAGCTTCGCGGGCGAGGGCCAGGCCGCGGTCAGGAGGCCACCGCGGGCCTCAGGTGCCCCCTGAGGTTTCCAGAGCCCGGTCGGTGCTCCATCCTGAGCCGCGAGAGGCCCCACTCAGCTGGGTGCACGTGGAGTCCACAGCGCCCCCCACGTCCACGTGCTCATGGAGACGGCATCCCGTGGCCAGAGCTTCCTGGTGTCTTGGCCACCGGGAGACACCCAGGCTGGAGGACGGACTTGGCACTTAGGGGACCAACTTCGGGGGCACTGGGGACGAGGCCGGGAACAGGAAAACCTGGAGTGAGCCAAGTTCACGTGGACGGCGGATGGACAGCAGCAAAGCAGCTGCCCTGAGACTGCCCTGTCCACGGCTGCACGGTCTAGACCGGGAGCCAACAGGACGTCTCACAAGTGCCAGCCGTGGCCTGAGCTTCCTGCCCGGCACGTGACGCGGGAGCCCGCTTTCTCTGGTTTTCTAATTCATTCTTGGAGCCAAAGCCTGGCTCATGCACTTGACACCCAGGGACAGTGAGTTCCGCCCAGCACAGGCCGGGCCCATGTCATCCGCAGAGGCTGACCACGCCCTGCTCTAGGCTCAGCCTCTCTACGGGACGGGGACATTCGAGTGGCTCATGTGAAACACGCAGAGTGCTCACAGCCCGGCAGGTGACAGCCACCCTGCCTCGCTTCTGTCCCACACCTCCCCTGCACCCCGGCCACCCCCACGTCACTCAGGACGCCAGCCCCCCATGAACTCTGGGGACACCGCTGTTGTGCTGCTCTGTTCAGGGATGACCACCAGAGAGTCCGCAGGGTTCAGCACGGAGGAGACCTTACAGCCGTCCCCGAGTGCAGGGCCCACGGGTTCCAGGGGCCACCACGCAAGACCCAGGGTCAGGGCCAGGAGAGGAGGGCGGGAGGGGTCGCTGGGTGACACTGTCAGGGGACCCGGAGGAGTCCCTGCATCTGCCAGCTGCCCAGCGCTGCCCCCTGCAGCCCCTGGGCCCACGTCCCACTGCCACCCCTCGCAGGACACAGCCAGGCCCAGCTGGTTTGAAGGACGTCACGTTACTACTGATGGGAAACAGTCTGCCCTCTCGGCAGCCTGGCCTTGGGGACACCTTGGGGACATGTGAGGACCGCCAAGGTCCTCACCACAGGGAGTCGGAGCGTGCCCACCTTCTGCCCACTTAAACCACATAAAACAGCCGGACAGTGCCACGCGTGGTCTCTTCTGTACCTCAGGAGATGCAGGCTCACCGCCCCAGGGCCCCCGCACTCTCCCTGGGGCCACGGATCGCTGCTGATGGACGCCAGGGTCTGGATCTGGCCGCACAGGGCTTCGGCTGGCCTGCCCTGAGCCCCGAAGCAGGTCCAATGGGTCTCCACCTTACAGAAGGTGCACACTCTGTGACTATTTTAGCTGAACCCCACTAACGTCATTTTACCTTGGAGCCCTGGTGAGAGCCGGCTCCGGTCAGTTAGTCCAGGTGGGCTTGAGAGCAACTCCAATCCCCACGTGTGGTCAGGAGCCACCATTTCTGCACCTCCAAAAACCAACCGTCCGAGTTCACTGACCTGAATTATGAAAAACAGAAGGGAAGGCACCAGTCAGCTTTCTCATGGCGGAAGGACACATTTCAGCAGCAAAATAACAGTTTTCACCAAGATTCCTACGGTTTCAGGAAAATGGTGGGCAGACGGACAGCTCCAGATCAGAAAAGCCCCCCAGCACGGGGGGCGGGGGGGGCGGAGACGCAGAAGTCTAGGGTCAGCACAGTGCAGAGTTAAGGGGACAGCTCGGCCAGAAGTGCCAGGCCCCCAATACCTGTCATCCCAGAGACTCAGGAGGCCAAGGCAAGAGCACTGCACCGTCAAGGCCAGCCTCCCTCAAAATCAGAAGGACTAGGAACACAGCTCAGTGCCACATGGAGTTGTCATGCACTGGTACAATCCACAGTGCCATCAAAAACAAGAAGAGAAGGAGGAAGGAAGAGGATGAAGAAGAGGAAGAAAGAAAAGGAAGGAGGAGG